AGTTGAATTTATTCAATCCTGCGCGTCACATATTTATATTAGGGACATTCTCAGGCCCAATGATGTCCCAGAAGTAGTAAAAACATTCTTTGCTTTTGATCAGACGGTTAGCTATGAAGGACATTTTATTCCCATTCTTGCCGTTCAGGTGACTGAATTGGCTGACGGAGTCTTCATTGGCTGCACCATAAATCATGCCGTTACTGATGGGACGTCGTTTTGGAATTTCTTTAACAGTTTTGCTGAAGTTAGTAGGGGCATGAAGAGAATTTTCAGGGCGCCGGACTTTCGTCGGGAATCAATTCTGATTTCTCAGGCGGTGCTGAAAATCCCCGCCGGCGGACCAAATGTTACTTTCTCCCTCGATGCTCCGTTGAGAGAAAGAATTTTCAGTTTCAGCAGAGAATCAATTCTGAAGCTGAAAGCCAAAACCAATAATCAGAGATGGGAACTTAACGGCGAGATCGACGAATTAATGGGCAAGCAGAGCAAGGACACATTTAAATTCCCGGACGAAAAGTTAACGCCTTTAACTTGGCTAAAAAATATTGTCTCGAAGGAGACAAGAAATGCAAATCCAACGGCTGAGATTTCATCGTTTCAATCATTGTGTGCTTTATTATGGCAAGGAATTACACGAGCAAGAAAATTACCACCTTCTAAAACTACGACGTTTCGCATGGCAGTGAATTGTCGCCACCGGCTTGAGCCGAAGCTGGAGCCGCTGTACTTTGGAAACGCTATACAGAGCATTCCGACTCTTGCATCAGCCGGCGACGTGTTGTCAAAGAATTTGCGGTGGTGCGCGCAGCAATTAAATAAGAACGTGTTGGCACACGATAAGGATACAGTGAGGAAGTATGTAGAGGATTGGGAGCAGGACCCACGATGTTTTCCTTTGGGTAATTTCGATGGAGCAATGATCACAATGGGAAGTTCTCCTAGATTTCCAATGTACGATAATGATTTCGGGTGGGGTAGACCCATAGCTATTCGAAGTGGAAAAGCTAATAAATTTGACGGAAAAATTTCAGCGTTCCCTGGTCACGAAGGTGGTGGGAACATAGATTTAGAAGTGATCTTGACATCGGAGACTATGGCAGGTCTAGAGTCGGACCCGGAGTTCATGCAATATGTCACCGGTTATTAAAGGGTAAATGAAAATGAATCCTATGCGACTATTTTGTAATTGTGTGGTAGGATGTTGTTGGGAGATGTTAAGGGGAAGGGATGTCTTATCAAATTTATTATATAAATTTTGGCTTTCTTAATGAGAACCCTCCATGTAAAAATTTGTTATTCTAAAAGGAGTTTGCCTTCTGGAATACACAGGGTCTATGTAGTAGAATATTCTAGTGGAAATTACAAATTCTAATAGATTAAAAATTCCTATTTCATAAATAAGATGTTATGTTTAATATTTCACAAATTAGAAATTTTTTTAATTAATTAAGTAAAATAATTTCAAACCCTAATTATATCAATCTCAATTCCCCCCCTCTCTCTCTATTCACCGGAAGCTCGACTCTCTCACTCTCTTTCTCAAAATTCCATTGGTGGTGCTCAACTTTCTGGCATCTTACCTCCACCGTCGGTTCGCAAATCTTCAACGACTTAACTCCACCGCAAAGAGCGACATCCCTTCACCCAAACCCAGAGGCACATCGAGTTCCTCTACATTTTCCTCTCATCGACCTTCCAGTCGCCAGGTTTAATTTCACCATTCCTTTGATTTTGTGGTGGCGGGAGTTTTTGGAGTGCTATGGTGGCGATCTGGTGTTTGTGTGGTGGCGCTACAGATCTAGTGGAGGTGTGTGGTGTGTGCTGGAATGGAGGCTGCTGAGTGTCACCACAGCGTTGTCGATCGATGCTGCTGCAGCATTGAGACGTCGGTGTGGTGCGTGGGTGTGTTGGTGTGTGTACGACGACGGTGATGGTATGTGACGATCTATGGAGGTGTGTGGCGACCTGTGAAGATCTCTCTCACCTCTCTCGTCGTCGACCAATTTGCAGATCTGTGGAGGAGTGTGGTGTTGGTGTGGCGGTGACGGTAGCGATTTGTGGAGGTGTGTGGTATTGTGGATTTGTTGGCCATCTGTGGAGGAGTGTGGTGTTGGTGTGTGGTAGCGACGGTGGTGGCGATGATTTGGGATGGTTGCAGTGGTTGTGGACTGTGACTATAACTCCCAACTGTGGTGTTGGTGTGTGGTGGTGATATAAATTGTGGTTATGACCGTGACTCTCAATTGGATACGTGACCTGCAAATTGTGATTGTGACTTAGGATTGAATATGTGACTTGAAATTGTGACTGTGAATCGTAAGTATTGGTAGTGGTCATAAATTATCTGGTTGATTATAACCATTAAATTGGTTAATCTGTAACCAATAAAAAAGATAAATTGTGGCCGAAAAATAATGTGTTACCTAAAAAATTATTAATCTGTAACCAATAATTTGATAATTTGTAACTGTATAATAAGTTGTGACTTGTAATATTTGTGATTTGACTTATAAATTTTTCAATTTGTGACCGATGAACAAACCGTGACCTATAAAAATTTTCAGTTGTGATCGTAAAATAATTTGTAACATAAAATTTCTAATTTGTGACCAAAAAAAAATAATAAGTGACGATTAAATCGTTAATTTGGAACCAAATTATATAAATTTGTGGCTTAAATATATTTAATTATTAAATTAATTAATTACTTAAATTATAAATAATTTTTAATAAAAATATAATTAATCTCTTACTTATGAAATTTTCCCAATATTCTATCCTAATATTGGGCCTAATAATTGGTTCCCGTATGCTAAGGCCCAATCTCATTATTTTGGGTGTTCAATCCCCATAGGGAACTTTAGGTGTACCCCCTATTTTGTTTTTCAAAATTTCAAAAAAATATAACCTTTTTTCAAGATAATAGCCCAAGATAGTAAAATGGTTTATTTAATAATATATATTTCCAATAAGGTTACTAAAATAATATGTATATACTCGGTTGATATAGTCTACTTTCCACCTATGTTTGCCAAATGTATTGTGTATCAAAAACGATTTTGCTTGATGTACAGAATGCTTTTTCACAAAAACATGTCAGAACACACATACACGCAAAAGGGGGTCATGGTATTTTTTGGCAATTTTTTTCACGGTGGGCCCCATATCATGAGAGTATTTTGGCAATCTTCTGTGAAACTTTTTTCTGTACAAATGGATTAATTCTATATCAAAAAATCGTCCAAAAACTCTCTGATTATCCTGATTTTATAAAAATCGCTAATTCATTTCCGCTTTATCCAGTTTAAAGTCATGAAATTGTCCCAAAAACCATCTTTTTCTAAATTTATTTATCTAATTATTTCTTAAAAAATCACTAGGTCGTTCACTATTTGAACCACTATAAAAATTTTATGTTTTCCCTACAAAAATTTTTTGTAGGGAAAGGCTTTTATTTGTGGGGAAAAGCTTTTGCAGACAAAACAATTTTGTAGGGACATTCGTGGGGCAAACATCGAGAGAATAGGTATAATACGGCAAATTTTTGAAATTTGTGGGCTAAAGTTTTTCCCTACAAACTCTTTGGAGACAAATACTATACATCGCGTTAGTTTTTTTCGAAAAAATCATTTGTCTGCTAACGTTAATTTTGTCCACAAAAACATTTCAATTTTTCCCTACAAATTATATTGTCGGCTAAAACATGTTTTTACCTACAAACGAATTTTTTATTTGAAAATAATATTTGTGGGCTAAACTCTGTTTTTCTTTACAAACAAATTTTCAAGGGAAAAACATATTTGTAGACTTTTATGAAAAAATTCGTAGGGAAAAATTAAATTATTTTCATTTATTTTTTTTATATATATTGAAGTAATTTTTTAAACTTATTCAAAATAATATAAAAATGTAAAAAGGCAATAAATAAATTAAAACATATTGTCAATCAACGTTACATTGAATCCAAAACATTTTACCAAAATACAAATGACAACCGTTCACTAAGTATGGTTACATCTAAACTTAAAATAGTATAGAAAATATGCTCTGCATCTATTATTATGTACCAAAAAAATAACTATTCTTCTTCATCAATTAGATATGTAGCCGGTCCTCACCAAAATTTTTCTCTTCGTCCTCAATAGCATCATCCTCATTAGTATTATTCTCTGTTGACAATGGTGTAAATGAAAGTACAACGAAGCCAAAGATTTTACCACATTATTGGTGCATAAAATGATGTCAAGATTGCAATAAAATTAAATTGTTGCTCAACGATCTTTAGCTTGTTTTGCATCTTCTACTCCATCTTCACTCAAGCTGCATATTCTAACCTTTCGAGCAGCACGTTCTACTTCTAACTCTTTCTCCATACTGCATATATTGGAAGTAGATGTCTCAATGTCTTGAAGGTGATTATCTCCCAACCCACAAATTCAAAATTCGAGCTTTGCATAAAAAATAAACATCATGATATTAAGTCATGCCTTAGGATCATCTACATTCATCTCCTTCAAACAGATATTTTCAGGAAGTTGCTGCTCCTTTGCCATATGTACAAAATATTTATACTATTTGACAAGCATCTCATCCTACAAACATAACCCACAAAAGACATAAAACAGCCCATAAAATCAAAATATGGCAAGAGATATAACATAATCATATACAAGAGTTATGGCATAACTTAATAGATATAATCGATTCATAAAAACATTTTGACCATGGCAGTGTCCTTTTCCAAAATGGTCACATGAAAAGCATCCAAAAATTGTCAAACTGCATAATCTCATGACAATTTCCTAGCTTTTCTTAATCTAACTTTGTAATATATATATTTTTGGTGATTGGCACAAAACATTCATACCTTTCATTTTTTGGCATTTTTGCTCATATTTCCACATTTTTTGGCGCTAAACGTCGTTTTCACCAATTTTGGACAATTTTACCCTCCATTCAAATAAAACAAAAAGAAAAGAAAGGAAAACAATAAATAATTAATTGCAACCACAACCCCCAATTTTTTAAAAAATTACAAATCAGTCACAAGTATATACAAAATTTTCAATATAGGTACCAACAACCATGGAACCCAATTTTCGGCACCAAGGCCACCGGATTCTAACACCACCACCATCTCCTCACCAACCCTAACGTCAAAACGCAATTTTCAGCCCCAAATCCCAACAAATTCGAGCCAAATTTTGCCCAAAACTGCCTCATACACACGGTATTATTGCAAATTTGACCAAATCCATGGATGCCCATGTTCCATACAGCCCATAGGTTGCTCAAGCTCACGAAGACGCATCCATACATGTTTCAAAAATAGCAGTTCTTGCACCAAACGTTTGATTGTAAGGTTTTCTAACCATTCAGATGTTGGCGGCTCCATAAAATTCATACGTAAGGGTGGCTCCGCAGTATTATTGACAATAGGAGTAAAATTTCTGCGATCAATCGAGAAATCAGAAGGCGAAAGTGAAAATTTGGGCGAATTTGCCGGTGAATACCCACCAAAAACAGCCGGTTCAGGCACCGGAGATTCGATTGTGTTATATGGCGGCTCATGAAAACTAGCAAAATTCATCCCATGTGGCGCCGCCCCAATTCCATTGATAACTGGTGAATAAATCGGAGGTTCAGACGGTGCCGCAAATGGAGAATCTTGACCCGATCCAAAATCCATTTTCAAACAGTTCAACATTCCTCCCAATCCATGAACCACAATATCGCGGCTGTAAAATAGCCCTGGCAAAACCACTTGCACGCCGTCCAAATTAATAATAAAAACATAACTAGCAGACTTTATTGGTGCTATTTATCTTACAAATAAAATAAGACAGATGTTTGCCGAAGCAAGACAGAGTAGTGACTTTCTAGTTTCTACAATTAAATGGAGTATAAATGTACAGAGTGAAAACAATGTCATTACAAATTGACAGCATATATTAAAAATAAAAACTAACAGCAAGATTAAAAATTCTCAGCAGCCACACATGCACAATATCTGGTAGCGATGAATTAATTTTCTGATTGGAAACAAAACCTAAATTCAAATATTCAACTGCCATCAATTGTAGCAGAAGAAACCTAGTGATATAAGAAAACAAGAACTAGCAATTTATCATTACAGTTAAAACTAGATATGAGATAATACTGCAAATGCTTATACTAAACCTGTTTGGGAGTGATTTTGAGAATTGATTTTTTGACGGTTAGAAGAAAAGTGGGGTTCAACTGTGAGAGAAGAAGTTAAATATGACGGTTTGAATAGTAAAATAACGGTCAAAAAATCAATTTTTTGGGAGAAAAAATCACTCCCAAACATGCCCACTATGAAATGAAATGATAATTTGAAATTTTAATAGATTATTTTAACATTTTCACTAAATTATTTATCGTTTGATAGTTGACATCATTTCTATTTCAACAAATCCCTAGATTTTATTCCTATTGCCCTATATAAGATTTACCGTTACTGTTTGTCTACTAGTTGAAACTGGTCACTATTTTTTCACAACCAAGATTACCCACAAACAAAATGTTACTTTAACCAACATGATCAATATATGAATCTAATATCCACTTCCAAGCACCACTGCTAATAACTTCAACCACTCAAACCAACATATCCGCTACTGGCTGATTTACAGCCAACCACCACCAAAATTACACAACCTTCTCCTCCACAAGCCGCCACCCTATGACTTCCATCAATAAAACAAACTATTATTTAACTTATATACTTTTTGTTAGATTCAACACATGTTCTCTACCATCGAGTACTTAACACCAGGGCACAAGTAGATTTGGGTAGAGAATTAAAACTGTTATTCTTAATGTCCAAGAAAATCTATAAGGAAGCCATCTATCAAGGCTCCTAGCAAAATTTAACACAAACCCGAGTGGAAGAGATTGAAGGAAGTATCCATTGTGGCAAAACTATTAATTCATTTGATAGAGATTTGTGGGATCTCAAAAAATTACAATACTTGATACTATTAACATTTTTCTAAAATTTTTACAAATTATTATTTCTTATCTAGGGAAGACCAACAATTCTCAATAAGTTATACACACACATTCGATTATTATTTGCTTTTCCATTGCAAGAAACTGAAAAGGTAATCTCAAAACTCAAGATTATTTATAATAAGATTGATTGGCATACCTTCAAGACGAATTGAAGAAAAACTAAAAATTTGTAGAAGATTCAGGAGAAATTTTTGACCCAAAATCGATATTCTATCGAGAAAAAAAATTGGGATTGCAACCAAGATATTTACAAGAAATTTTGAGGCTGGAAAATTTTGAATTAGGTTTGGCCACCAATCGATTAAGTTAAAGTGGCAAAGAGTTCTCATTAATTCTTTGCCCACAAACAATATGTGCTTGTTTGGTAGGGATTTTGGTAATTGATTTTTTGACTGTTAGAAATAAAGTAGATCCTATCTGTAAGAGAAAAATTCAAAAATGACGTTTGGAATAGTGAAATAACGATCAAAAAATTGATTTTAATTGACTTTTAAGCTGTACCAAACAAATTTTTTGTTGGGAAAAAGTACAAACTTTTTACGGTCACAAGTCCTCCCAATATTTAAAATTTTGAAGCAAATCATAACCCTACAAAACATCATTTTGTTGGGAAAATGTGAACCCCGTCTACAAATCTCAATTTGTCAACGGAAATTTTGTAGGGGAAATAAATTTCTTGTAGGCTAGTTCAATCATTTGACTGTTGAACATTTTGAAACATTAGTTTATATGCGATTTGGATTGTACGCATTAACAACGTTATGGACATGTTGTATGTTCTGATCGTAAAATTAATTGAAAAACATAATTTAGCTGCTAATCTGTGCAATTAACTGAACTTTATGGATTTCTTTAAGATTTTATTTTGAGAAGGGGGACAATTCCATAGAAAATTGCAAAACAAACTCGCAGTTAAGGTTGTACCATAGGCCATGTGATTAAAAAAATTTACCAAGGTTTTTTAGTAGAGTCTGAATAATGTTTTGGAGGTCATTTTCAACTAAGGTAGTGTTTGATTGCTCCACTTTTTCCATGGAAAATGGAGTTTGGATTCAATTTTCCAACTTTTGGTTGTTTGATTGTCCAAAATTTTCTATGGTGAGAATTTGAATTCTCGGTTATTGTAACAATTTTTTAATTTTTTAATTTTTTTTTGGCAATGGAAATAAATTCTAAGAATTATTGTAAAAAAATATTTTCCTTTTATTGACAATTTTCATATAAAACAAAGTCAAACGAACACCAAAAGATAGATGATTTTCTTGATTATTTTTTTTTGTTGGCAATGAAAACAAATTTCATACCTAATACCAGTAAATTTTATCTCTTTAATTAACAATTTTCATGTAAAATAAAGCCAAACGAATATCAAAAAATACTTTTATTTCAACATTTTCCACGTGGAAAATTATATCAATCAAACACAATAATTTACAATTCTCAGAAAAATAATATCTAGGCAATTCAATTTCCTGAAATTCGTTTTCAATTAAATTTAATTCCATCTTTGCAATCTAACAGACTCTAAGCTATAAAAAAATGTTTGTCAAATTGACAGACGTACTTGTCAAAATTTATCTTACAATTTGAAAATGTGAATCAATGTTGCACAAACTTAGAAAAAGTTAAAAATTTCTTTGTGCTATTGATTTGTTAATAAATTAAATCAATTTTCTTAAATAAGAGATAGAGATTTCTAGAATTAAAGAATTCTTAGAAAAACGAAAAATGTTAAATATAGTGAAATCTTTGGGAGAAATAATTCTTTCGAAAAGTTTGCTGTGAACGAACATCAAAATGCGGTTTGAGAAAGAAAGATGCATTTTGACGAAAAATTATTCCTACTATAGTTTGAAAAGGCATCGAGCCATATACAGTGTGAAAAGAGGAAGATCTAAGGTACCACCTGTCTCTTGCAGAATTTTTAATTAAATTCAATAGGACAATCATCGGGAATCAAATTTCAAAACATACATATGGATTCATATGATATCCAAGAAGATTAAACTCAAACAGTAGAATAATAATAAAAAGAACAATGCTTTATTTACGAGCATGCAGAGGAGAATGTCGTAGCATTTTTCAACCTTCAAAGCACAGATTCATTTTCTCGAGCTACGTGCATTGTAAATTCATAGCCTAAACTTTCAGAATCATAAAATTTGAATCATGAGCCTAGCTAAGGCTTTGTCCTTGTAACATTTTCTATACAGACAGCCTTCTTTTAGAGGAAACTTAATCGTAGATCCAATGTGGGATGATCCATTTCTGTCCCAATACTGTATGAATTCTCTTTGCAGGAATCATTTGCAAACAATCTACGCTTCTCCGACTCCATCGGCTCCCTGAATGAGTTGAGTGGAAATAGTTGCAAAGTCTCCGGTACTCTTTCAGCCTCAGAATTAACCTGATTTAACTCTGCAAGATCTGTCAAAGAAGAAACAAAATATTCATTAGGTTCCCTTCAAATTCAAATTTTTCATTTTATTGTTGTTATTGGAAGATATATCAAGAATTTAATTGACTTACATTTTGTTGATGAAAGCTTTTCTTGGTGGTGGAATTCATTAGGTTCATCGACCAAAACTCTGCGGCGTTTCTGTCTTTCTCTAGCTTTATGGTTTTGAAACCAATAAAAAACATTTTTGCTCTCGATCTTACCATAAAAGCTCAACTGAGAAGATATCTTTTGGATCTGATCAGTACTAGGAGTTCGGAGCCCAGACCTGAACAAGTCTGTAAGAACTTTAACCTGTTCAGTTGTTGGATTCCACCTCCCACACTTGGTCCCTGTGCCGCCACTGCTGCCATTATTGCCACCACCAAGTTGCTTAATACAAAAGCCTGATACTTCATCCATCACTCAAATACTGTCTATATACAGCTTCTGGAAAATTTTCTTTCAGTTCTGACCAGTTTCTGAACTCAAAAGGAAGTGAGTGAGTTTACCGATATATATATAGTATAAATTGAGGATTTGATCGTCTGGTTTTTTGTGTAGATGGAGATAAAAATGCACAAAAGTTGCCACTGTTCAAAAGTTAGGCCTGCGAGCAGACAAAAAGGGTGAGTCGTCGAAAATTACATTAAAAATCTCAAATAAATATCAATTAAGAAATCACTTGCATTGAAAACATTAGCTACTCATGCTTTTTTATTTATATATAGCTGCGGTTCTCAAGATCTTCTCTTTGATCTTTATATACACAAGTTATTCTCATAAAAAATAAATAAAAATAAATAATTAAAAAAAAACTGTTTTACAAAAAATATTGTTATTATGAAAACCAAACTTATTTAAAGGAAAATAATAAAAAAAAAATGAGACAAACTATTATTTATATAGTAAGGCATTCTAAAAAGAACAATGCCTTCAGGACATAAGAGTAATCCAAATCACTGTTCATGAACTATTAGATTATGTGAGTTGTACTGGCAAAACAAAGATTTATATGGATATGAAAGTCAAAGTTCACATTGTCCGATCCTAGTTGGATAGTTTTACTGACATGGATACTGAATTTAGTTGACCAAATGAACTGTTCAGTCAAAGATTGTTGGATTAGAACTCCTTTTAAGGGATTGGGGACAGAAACAAAAGGACATAAAAGCCACCAAATTGAGATTTTAGAGATAGCCAACACATGAGCAATTACTAAAAGTAGACCAACTTGGCTTTTCTCACGTCCATGGTTCATGTCTTATAGGCTATTAGTGTTATTTAATTGAAATTTTTCAGCTAATCCAAGAAACGCATGACAATATGATAATTAGCAAAATTGATTAACAAATTATAAGTTATTGTGTTTGGTTTCTAGGGTAGTAGGGCTTGTCTCTTGATACTTTATATAACTCTATGATATTTAAATTACAAACTTTCGTAACAAGATGACGAAGTTGTAGACTTTAATCAGTTTTCTACAAAAAACTTTTCTAACCAAACAAAGTACTTTCGGAAAATTAATAAAACGTGTTCAAATGAAATATTTAATCTCAAAAGTAGTTTTTGACATTTTTTGAAGCTTTATTAAATAGACCTGAAATGAGAAAGAAAACTAATGATCTTGTAAGGTTCATGTCTTTCCAAATTTTATTCATTTGTGCAGTCTAATGCATCTAATAGAAGCCACTAATGTAGCAAATGGTAGATTCATTTGTTTGTAAATTATTGCATAGAAAAGACATTATAAATTAAGATGTTGTTCCACTTAATCTTTGTTAATTATTTAATTTATTTTCCACTAGGTTTCGATAGAATAAAAATAATATAGAAATGGCGAAGCCAATATATGTTTATGCTTTCCACAATTCCCGAGAATGTTACATAAATTAGCTGATTTGTCTGTTTGCATTTGGCTCTCCATTCCATTAACTCCTACGAATCTCACTTCACTCAACACAACAACACTTGGCATTTTGTTATTTTCAATTTACGTACAACTTGTGAATAAGTTAAAAATTGTTTATAAGATAAGAAGTTGTTTTTAATATTTTTGTAAATATTTTGTCTTAACAAAAAGATTTTGAAATAACTTTCTCAAAAACTCTTCTACAAAAAGCAAAAATCCCGTCAAATGAGCTCTAAATTAGTGAAGTTTAATGTCATTATTTTGTATTAAAAATTAAATTGAAAAATTAAAGAACATTACATCAATTCTGTCTTTTTAGTACTGCGTTGTTTCATGCTTGTTTTCATTTCTTATCTATCTTATATTCAAGATGTATTTAGTACTTTAAGAATTCCATTAGTTCCACATTAAAATTTAAATATACCCAATCAAACTCTAGCTCTCGTGTTTTCGAAAATCTTGCTTACTGGTTAAATATGATTTGTTATATTGGAGACAAAATTAAAAGAAATTTATTTCTTTTCTAATGACTTAAACTTTCAATAAATAAAATGATTCAACGACACCATAACATGGCAAATAATTTTGTTTTGATGCTATTCAAGTTAAAATAAAAACGTTGCTCTTAAAAAAAAAAAAATCTTAGTTAAACACACGTTATTTCTGAAATTGATATAAACCATTTTTATAAAAATGTATTTTTGATTGATCATATGACAAATTAAAATAAAACCATCGTTTTAAAAATGAATTATTTCATTTTCCGGGATATAAAAATCATTTTTATAGGAAAAATCAAATGTGAGGTGGGTAATGTGCAAATGTGTCCGGATTTTCGTGTCATTAACAATCCTCCAAGTAGATAGTGATAACTGATTGTAAAACGCGCACACATAAACAGGAAAATGTTTTTCAGTGAGATTCGAGAAGGCTAAATGCATAATGTTTTGTACAAATTAATTAAAATAATAATGTAAGAGTGCATGCGAGAAATGTAGGCGGCCCTAATTTCCGTCAGTTTCTTTCTTGTCTCCACTACCTAATGGAAATTTAACTGAAATCCCCCATTTCCCCAACATTTTCATTATTGTTGGGAGAGAAACACTGTCCAATTTGCTGATCTGTTAGTGCACATAATATATATGAAAACAAGGAAAGGGGACTACTTTCGTATATTCTTTTACATTTCAGACGCAGTGTACAATTTTATTTTCTGCATCTTTAAAATACCAGGATTTTTGAGAGAAAAAAGTCTTATAAAGTAAAATTAGAAAAGAGGCTACGCGCTTTTAATTGAAGGTAAGCGTAACAGATGTTGATTTATTTACAACGAGGAGTAACTGTTATTTATTTATACTGAGGGCTTTATGTATAGCCATTGAGGATAACTATACGAAAAATATTTTCAAATTTGATATTTAACTCAAATGTCACTTTGTGTTATATTCAACAATGATTTCGTCCTCGCCATCATAGGAAAAATAGGATGTTATCCACAATTGTCGTTAATAATGTCTTAAATAATTTTTTTTCCCTACTATTGTACTACTTTAGCCAATGTAAAAATAATACTTTAATTTTATTCTTTGTGTGAGGATTTTATTTTGGAGTCGTGCTTTATCGATAGTACCTACATGAGACTACACAACTTTAGGATAGTGGCCCCCCAGGGCACATCCAAGTTGGCGGAACAATCACATTGGGGGGCTCTGGAACCAAGTGTGGGGAGTTCGATTCCTGGTTGGAGCAGCCAAGTGATATAATAACCAGAGGAAGGGTTGAAACAGCTTGGTGATGTAATAACCATGGAGGAGGGTCCCTTTGGGGTAGGAGTAAAAGCCATGTGGGAACCTGGGAACCAACAAGGGCACAACCTGCGATTTACCTCCACTAGTCACTGAGGGGCCGGGGGCTAGAGGTCCAGGATTTAGTCCGGCTAAGCTGGGACACCTGGGTTATAAAAAAAAAAAAAAAAATTATCAAAAAATAATTTAAAATTTACATCAATTCTAGACATCGGCCAACAACAAAACATGCAATAAATAAATTAAAAATCATTATAGCATGAAAATGATTAATTTAGCTTGCTATGATACTAGTTTGTGGATAATCTTCGACTTTTCTGTGAAGCTACACAAGTTTGGTTGTGTTGGAAAATATGGGTCATGGGTTGCTCATGTGAGATGACCCGGCCCACAAGACATTAAAAAAGTTGGAGGGAGTGATTTGAACTTAAAATTCAACCTACATCTCTCTATAACCATTCTTAACTTCCATATAACCTCCAATTTTTTGTCTAACATTTGAGAGAGAGAATGATGAAAAGAAAAATGGTGAACTTCATTGGAAAATATCATCAAAATTGGAAAGGTCTTAAAATCACGATTTTAGTATGAAAACTCACAAAATAATACTTAGATTGTGGATAATAATTCCCTTTCATTATGATCGGGATTGAGACTATTGAAGTGCAAGAAAATTGTCGATTCGGAAAGCAATGTGATTCAATCATTCAAAAAAATCTTCAAATTCATATTTTCAAGTAAGAATTCTTGATCCGAAATTCATGTTAAAGAATGTTACGAGTTATTACGGGTAGCTTCAAGCATACGGTAAAAATAATAATAATAATAATAAAGGAAACCATGCTTTTATGTTTCCTTATAAATATTAGGTAATACTTTTTTCATTCACAAAATAGATATTATTATAAAAAAACAATTTAAATATATTTTTTAGTATTTGATTTTTCATTTTCCCGGCTCATTATAATTTAGTAAATATTATGGTAAGTTTACTGTTCAAATTTTGAATTTCATTAATTTCATAAAAATTTCCTTCTTTGCACTCTGGTGGAGAGAGAAATCTTTCATCTTTAAATGTTTGCTCGATCTGGTGAGAGAATTCTCATCATTATCAGCCATCCATAATCTCGTTCTTCATTCCATAATATAGGACAAAATCTTTATGTATTTTGCTTTTGGGGAGAAAGGAAGTCACAAATACCATTGTCTATATATGTCACAACATATGGGCGAAAATAAGTCACAAAAATAATATTATCACAGCACGATTTTATATAAAACTGACGTAACAAATATAGTTAACACGAATATAACCTTGGCCCAGTGCATTTGAGATCACAATTTTTATACATTTGACATAATTTTGGACAAAGACGTGTCATACTAAATCAACTTTATTCATATTCGTCTTAAACAAAGTCACACATAAAGTAACGTAGCATAACATAATGAAATTGTTACGTTTGATGCATTTTGTCAGTTATGATCTTTCACAGTTTGATGCAGATCGTTAGTCGTGATGAGAAAAAGGTAAGGAAAAAGTTTAACCAATGGAGCAACAATTCCATTTCTTTTGCCTTCATACATGGTCACATGGATGAATACGGATCTTGCTTAATTTTAGGGTAAAATATGGTGAGGGGAGAATATATCTATATATATGACGTTGTCCTTGTATGTCCACCAATTTAACAAACATTCATTATCTTTTATATATATATATATATATATATATAATTTTTAAAAAAAGGATCTTAAAATAATAATTTATTTATGAAAACTTTCTCAAATTTTGATATTTTTGAACGTAATCTAAAACAAGGATGCGTCAAATGCGGATAACAAGTAATTACTTGTCATGGAGCTCGTTCTATAGCCAAGGCACAGCATAGAAGATTAAGAACCCATTACACTTTAGACTAAGTAAAACCCTCCACTTTTCCCTCATTCTTTGAAGAATAAAGCCCTGTGTACAAAGCTTCATTTCACAGGGGTCTTACAGACCCCTCTCATGGATTGGCTCCATGCGGGCCCCAAGGCAATAAAAAGTTGGAAAAAAAAAAAAGCCCCGACCCCACCCCATGTGAGATCCTATAAGGGGTCTTTAAGGAGTTGGGTCGTACGCCTAGCTCTGTTCTTCTTTGAATAGCTATATCCCATGCATGGCCCATTCAATAATTCGAACTCTCACAGAAATTCGCTTGCATTGACCATTCATCCCATTCAAGTCTACTGATTTCGCAAGGCCATTTATGGTATGGTCAATGAACCAGAAATGCAGGGGTTCTTGATATCTTATGCATTCACAAACTCACATGGTAATATTTCTTCATTTATTTTTCACTCTACATGAAAAATGAATCTACATCCAAGTCAACTAGTGTCACAACAACGAGGCATACTAATATCTACGACATTTACAGCTTCATCGAGTGTAAGTTCCTTGCACAAGGTTACAGCTGACCTAACTTTTTCAATGCCTTCAATTTTTGGACATGTCATTGGCACAAAACATAACAAGAAGCATTAAGACTAGACAGTAAGTTCTCTAAGCTAAAAATGATTTTGAAACCATTTTCCAACATTAATATATGTTTTGAGCTTTAGTTACACAAAACAATGAAACATGCAGTTTTACTAAATTCAGGCTGCAGGAATCTGCTTCAGCCCGCTGCTATGATCTCTACATCAGAGCCAACACTAAATCTCCCTCCATTTTAAACTTTATTCATAATTATCTTTCATATATGTATAAATTCGTTCTTCTGAACCGGGCAATGTTAGGTGACAAGTTCCACTCAAAAGTTGGGTTCTGGATCCTCTTGTTCAACGACCATACCAGTTTACAGTTTCTCTAGAAGTTGGAAGTTGAGCTGCTCGGGTGGGAATTGTCAAGGGGATAACAAGTTTCCTCCCCGCCAGTGTTCCATAAGAAATTGGCATAGTTAGAAGCATAATGAGAACTGTCAGGTTCAACCGACAGGGCTTGCAAATATCTTTCTTCTGCTGCCCAAAAGTCCTGCCTAACTTTCCACAGAAAGGTAGCGTACTGGCTCAAGGATTCCGCATCTGGTGGTTCTGATTGTACCGCCTGCTTGAAACACTGCTCTGCCCTGTAAATGTCAGCCAGTAGCTAAGCAAAGGTATAGGAGAAACTGAGGTAAATATAACACAGTTCTCTACAAGATCAAGTTGTTACTCAAATAAAAACCCATGAGCATATCCAACATCATGCCTTTCATTCCCGGAGTGACAGAGGAATCATACCATTCTAGCCAGGTTTTTTTTTTTTCATGCTTTTCCCTGTGGTTCAGAGAAAGCTGCAATCGATAGGAATTCCCTAATCCTTCCCTATAAATAATCATGAACCATTTGATTGATTGTCATATATAAGCTCATTTACATTGCCAATTAGCGGACAATTTGAAGTCTGGTTTTGTTCCTATCTAATGTTGACCTAAATGCTTGTAAACGTTCTTAAAATTGATAAGCCAAAGAAAACAGAATTCAGAATGTCTATAGCCATGTGATTAATAAGAAAACGGTTTGAAAATTGAGAAAATTACCTGTCATAATCGTGGGTAACAAGATGCAGAAACTGTGCATAATTGCATAGTAGAAGTGGATTGTTAGGCTCCTGAGAAAGGGCAGTCTGGTATAGAAGGTCAGTCCTAAGATAATCCTCATAGTCATCGGGTTCTAGCTCAACAGATACCGGGGAAACAAACCTTTGCGTTGTGTCCTGATCAAGAATCGCATTCCTAAAACCTGCTTGAATCTTAGTTGCTTCTTCCACCACTGAGTTCCACAAATTCGACTCCTCTACACTCCTCATATCTTGATGTTCAACCTGCAAAAGTTCTTCGTGAAGAACTTGAGAATATCCACTCGCCTTTGATGGATTGATCTTTTGGTCGTTCCCAGCTACACTTCCTTCAGATAGAACATAATCTCTCTCTGAAACTCCACTGTCTGAAACCAAAGTTGATTCTATTGATGAAGATCCAAGTAAGGAGGCTTCTGCAATTGAAACGTTGTGGCACGCAGAATATACACTAAAATTTGCTAATAGGACCATCATATATATCATCAATGCGGGTGTTCTTGAAAACACTTGCCGAAAAAGCCACACAAATGACGAATGCATTTCCTTTTGTACTTTAGCTATAATAATCTCTAGATCTTCATGGCACAACGCTTCTCTCATCTGTAATGCATAGCTCTGAAGCTCGACGACAATGAATACCATTGAAGCAAAAGCCTTTTCCACCGAGCAACAAACTGAATCTCCAGAATGCGTAAAGGCCTCTTCCAACTGTAGTTTCTTCTTTACCATTCTTAGAGAAAGAGGAAGATCAAAGCTCTTAGCCTTCTGTTCAAGAGACGCCCACATAACAGCCTCCCGTTCTGGCCAATCCGGGGCCTCGGGTCTAATCCCGAGCTTTATGGGTTCCAGGAAATCAAATTCCGATTGGCAGAATGAATTTTTAATCATTAAATATTTACTGGTAGAAGGACTGGTTTCAGATACTTCATAATGTAGCCTTTTACTCCTATCTCCTCCATTCTCTCCCCATCCCAACAGGCTAAATCTTTCCGTTAATCCTTCTACAGGATTGGAGGGTTCCTCATAAAAAATATCACCCAAGTTTGAACGACAAGATCGTTTAACAGTATGGCCTCGAAAAAGAGTCTTGCTTAAAGTTTGGGACCTCCGGACGTTTTCAGACGAAAAGGGATTAGAAAGGACAACTTGATAGACTTTTTGGTTTCTTTTGCAATATCTCATCGAAGAAGACGACGAGTTATAAAGGGATGAAGATAGTGAAGAACCAAAGGCTTGAGGGACAACATGGATTGGACATTCTACCATGGATGAAACCATTTCAAACCTTTCCTAATTGCAGAAATGATGAAAAGATGAGAAAATAACAAAAAGGATTGAGAAAAAACAGGGGTTAAATATAAAAATAGGAAAAGTGAGGAAGAAATAGTCAAGTCAGGCAACAGAATGCCCGTGTATAAAGGATCTTTTTAATCTAGCCAATCTATGAATCTCTCTTAGATCTTTAAAGACATGGACCAAACTCTAGATTTTTCGAGGATTGCTTTAAATTCAATCCATCATGTGATATACAGATGAAAAGGCAAGATTTTACATCATTGCATTTTTTTACCAAAATAACGAAAATCTCTATGGCCCCACTCCCAATCTACCATAATACAACAAGTCAACGGCAAAAACAAAACAGGAAAAAAAAAAAAATCTTTTAACATGTTAAGCCCCGTTTGTTTCATGTAAAATAAAGCCAAACGAATATCAAAAAATACTTTTATTTCAACATTTTCCACGTGGAAAATTATATCAATCAAACACAATAATTTACAATTCTCAGAAAAATAATATCTAGGCAATTCAATTTCCTGAAATTCGTTTTCAATTAAATTTAATTCCATCTTTGCAATCTAACAGACTCTAAGCTATAAAAAAATGTTTGTCAAATTGACAGACGTACTTGTCAAAATTTATCTTACAATTTGAAAATGTGAATCAATGTTGCACAAACTTAGAAAAAGTTAAAAATTTCTTTGTGCTATTGATTTGTTAATAAATTAAATCAATTTTCTTAAATAAGAGATAGAGATTTCTAGAATTAAAGAATTCTTAGAAAAACGAAAAATGTTAAATATAGTGAAATCTTTGGGAGAAATAATTCTTTCGAAAAGTTTGCTGTGAACGAACATCAAAATGCGGTTTGAGAAAGAAAGATGCATTTTGACGAAAAATTATTCCTACTATAGTTTGAAAAGGCATCGAGCCATATACAGTGTGAAAAGAGGAAGATCTAAGGTACCACCTGTCTCTTGCAGAATTTTTAATTAAATTCAATAGGACAATCATCGGGAATCAAATTTCAAAACATACATATGGATTCATATGATATCCAAGAAGATTAAACTCAAACAGTAGAATAATAATAAAAAGAACAATGCTTTATTTACGAGCATGCAGAGGAGAATGTCGTAGCATTTTTCAACCTTCAAAGCACAGATTCATTTTCTCGAGCTACGTGCATTGTAAATTCATAGCCTAAACTTTCAGAATCATAAAATTTGAATCATGAGCCTAGCTAAGGCTTTGTCCTTGTAACATTTTCTATACAGACAGCCTTCTTTTAGAGGAAACTTAATCGTAGATCCAATGTGGGATGATCCATTTCTGTCCCAATACTGTATGAATTCTCTTTGCAGGAATCATTTGCAAACAATCTACGCTTCTCCGACTCCATCGGCTCCCTGAATGAGTTGAGTGGAAATAGTTGCAAAGTCTCCGGTACTCTTTCAGCCTCAGAATTAACCTGATTTAACTCTGCGAGATCTGTCAAAGAAGAAACAAAATATTCATTAGGTTCCCTTTAAATTCAAATTTTTCATTTTATTGTTGTTATTGGAAGATATGTCAAGAATTTAGTTGACTTACATTTTGCTGATGAAAGCTTTTCTTGGTGGTGGAATTCATTAGGTTCGTCGACCAAAACTCTGCGGCGTTTCTGTCTTTCTCTAGCTTTATGGTTTTGAAACCAATAAAAAACATTTTTGCTCTCGATCTTACCATAAAAGCTCAACTGAGAAGATATCTTTTGGATCTGATCAGTACTAGGAGTTCGGAGCCCAGACCTGAACAAGTCTGTAAGAACTTTAACCTGTTCAGTTGTTGGATTCCACCTCCCACACTTGGTCCCTGTGCCGCCACTGCTGCCATTATTGCCACCACCAAGTTGCTTAATACAAAAGCCTGATACTTCATCCATCACTCAAATACTGTCTATATACAGCTTCTGGAAAATTTTCTTTCAGTTCTGACCAGTTTCTGAACTCAAAAGGAAGTGAGTGAGTTTACCGATATATATATAGTATAAATTGAGGATTTGATCGTCTGGTTTTTTGTGTAGATGGAGATAAAAATGCACAAAAGTTGCCACTGTTCAAAAGTTAGGCCTGCGAGCAGACAAAAAGGGTGAGTCGTCGAAAATTACATTAAAAATCTCAAATAAATATCAATTAAGAAATCACTTGCATTGAAAACATTAGCTACTCATGCTTTTTTATTTATATATAGCTGCGGTTCTCAAGATCTTCTCTTTGATCTTTATATACACAAGTTATTCTCATAAAAAATAAATAAAAATAAATAATTAAAAAAAAACTGTTTTACAAAAAATATTGTTATTATGAAAACCAAACTTATTTAAAGGAAAATAATAAAAAAAAATGAGACAAACTATTATTTATATAGTAAGGCATTCTAAAAAGAACAATGCCTTCAGGACATAAGAGTAATCCAAATCACTGTTCATGAACTATTAGATTATGTGAGTTGTACTGGCAAAACAAAGATATATGGATATGAAAGTCAAAGTTCACATTGTCCGATCCTAGTTGGATAGTTTTACTGACATGGATACTGAATTTAGTTGACCAAATGAACTGTTCAGTCAAAGATTGTTGGATTAGAACTCCTTTTAAGGGATTGGGGACAGAAACAAAAGGACATAAAAGCCACCAAATTGAGATTTTAGAGATAGCCAACACATGAGCAATTACTAAAAGTAGACCAACTTGGCTTTTCTCACGTCCATGGTTCATGTCTTATAGGCTATTAGTGTTATTTAATTGAAATTTTTCAGCTAATCCAAGAAACGCATGACAATATGATAATTAGCAAAATTGATTAACAAATTATAAGTTATTGTGTTTGGTTTCTAGGGTAGTGGGGCTTGTCTCTTGATACTTTATATTATTCTACGCTATTTAAATTACAAACTTTCGTAACATGATGAGGAAGTTCTAGTAGAGTAAAATAAAGTACTTTCGGAAAATTAATAAAACGTGTTCAAATGAAATATTTAATCTCAAAAGTAGTTTTTGACATTTTTAGAAGCTTTATTAAATAGACCTGAAATGAGAAAGAAAACTAATGATCTTGTAAGGTTCATGTCTTTCCAAATTTTATTCATTTGTGCAGTCTAATGCATCTAATAGAAGCCACTAATGTAGCAAATGGTAGATTCATTTGTTTGTAAATTATTGCATAGAAAAGACATTATAAATTAAGATGTTGTTCCACTTAATCTTTGTTAATTGTTTAATTTATTTTCCACTAGGTTTCGATAGACACATGATTCAATAAAAATAATATAGAAATGGCGAAGCCAATATATGTTTATGCTTTCCACAATTCCCGAGAATGTTACATAAATTAGCTGATTTGTCTGTTTGCATTTGGCTCTCCATTCCATCAACTCCTACGAATCTCACTTCACTCAACACAACAACACTTGGCATTTTGTTATTTTCAATTTACGTACAACTTGTGAATAAGTTAAAAATTGTTTATAAGATAAGAAGTTGTTTTTAATATTTTTGTAAATATTTTGTCTTAACAAAAAGATTTTGAAATAACTTTCTCAAAAACTCTTCTACAAAAAGCAAAAATCCTGTCAAATGAGCTCTAAATTAGTGAAGTTTAACGTCATTATTTTGTATTAAAAATTAAATTGAAAAATTAAAGAACATTACATCAATTCTCTCTTTTTAGTACTGTGTTGTTTCATGCTTGTTTTCATTTCTTATCTATCTTATGTTCAAGATGTATTTAGTACTTTAAGAATTCCATTAGTTCCACATTAAAATTTAAATATACCCAATCAAACTCTAGCTCTCGTGTTTTCGAAAATCTTGCTTACTGGTTAAATATGATTTGTTATATTGGAGACAAAATTAAAAGAAATTTATTTCTTTTCTAATGACTTAAATTTTCAATAAATAAAATGATTCAACGACACCATAACATGGCAAATAATTTTGTTTTGATGCTATTCAAGTTAAAATAAAAACATTGCTCTTCAAAAAAAAAAAATCTTAGTTAAACACACGTTATTTCTGAAATTGATATAAACCATTTTTATAAAAATGTATTTTTGATTGATCATATGACAAATTAAAATAAAACCATCGTTTTAAAAATGAATTATTTCATTTTCCGGGATATAAAAATCATTTTTATAGGAAAAATCAAAAGGTGAGGTGGGTAATGTGCAAATGTGTTCGGATTTTCCTGTCATTAACAATCCTCCAAGTAGATAGTGATAACTGATTGTAAAACGCGCACACATAAACAGGAAAATGTTTTTCAGTGAGATTCGAGAAGGCTAAATGCATAATGTTTTGTACAAATTAATTAAAATAATAATGTAAGAGTGCATGCGAGAAATGTAGGCGGCCCTAATTTCCGTCAGTTTCTTTCTTGTCTCCACTACCTAATGGAAATTTAACTGAAATCCCCCATTTCCCCAACATTTTCATTATTGTTGGGAGAGAAACACTGTCCAATTTGCTGATCTGTTAGTGCACATAATATATATGAAAACAAGGAAAGGGGACTACTTTCGTATATTCTTTTACATTTCAGACGCAGTGTACAATTTTATTTTCTGCATCTTTAAAATACCAGGATTTTTGAGAGAAAAAAGTCTTATAAAGTAAAATTAGAAAAGAGGCTACGCACTTTTAATTGAAGGTAAGCGTAACAGATGTTGATTTATTTACAACGAGGAGCAACTGTTATTTATTTATACCGAGGGCTTTATGTATAGCAATTGAGGATAACTATACGAAAAATATTTTCAAATTTGATATTTAACTCAAATGTCACTTTGTGTTATATTCAACAATGATTTCGTCCTCGCCATCATAGGAAAAATAGGATGTTATCCACAATTGTCGTTAATAATGTCTTAAATAATTTTTTTTCCTACTATTGAATTACTTTAGCCAATGTAAAAATAATCCTTTAATTTTATCCCTTGCGTGAGGATTTTATTTTGGAGTCGTGCTTTATCGATGGTACCTACACGAGGCTACACAACTTTAGGATAGTGATTTTCAAATTTGTCAAATATGCTGCAGGGACTTTGTGGATAATCTTCGATTTTTCCGTGAAGCTACATAAGTTTGGTTGTGTTGGAAAATATGGGTCGTGATTTGCTCATGACAAATGACCACAAAACATTAAAGATGTTGGAGGGAGTGACTTGACTTGAAATTCAAACATTTGACTCTCTATAATCACTCTTAACTTCCATATAACCTCCAATTTTTTATCTAGCATTTGAGAGAGAGAATGATGAAAAGAAAAATGGTGAAATTCGTGTGGAAAATATCATCAAAATTGGAAAGGTCCTAAAATCAATATTTTAGTATGAGAACTCACAAAATAAGACACTTTGATTGTGGATAATAATTCCCTTTCATTATGTTTGAGATTGAGACAATTGAAGTGCAAGAAATTGCAAATTTGGAAAGTAAGGTGATTCAATCATTCAAAAAATCTTGAAATTCATATTTTCAAGTAAGAATTCTTGATCCGAAATTCATGTTAAAGAATGCTATGAGTTATTACAGGTAGCTTCAAGCATTCGATGATGATGATGATAAAGGAAACCATGCTTTTAAGTTTCCTTATAAATTTAAGATAATACTTTTTTTCATTCACAAAACAGATACTATTGTAAAAAATAATTTAAATATATTTTTTAGTATTTGGTTTTTCATTTTCCCGGATCGAGATTACCAAACACTCATCCAAGTCATTCTTTCATGATTAGGTAGGCTGTAGAGGGCTTTTTATTTTAGTATAATTTAGTAAATATTATGGTAAGTTTACTGTTCAAATTTTGAATTTCATTAAGCACTCTGGTGGAGAGAGAAATCTTTCATCTTTACATATTTGCTCGATCTGGTGAGAGAAATCTCATCATTATCATTTATCCATAATCTCGTTCTTCATTCTAAAATATTGGACAAAATCTTTATGTATTTTGCTTTCGGGGAGAAAGGAAGTCGCAAATACCATTGTCTACATATGTCACAACCTATGGGCGAAAATAAGTCACAAAAATAATATTATCACAGCACGATTTTATATAAAACTGACATAACAAATATAGTTAACACGAATATAACCTTGGTCCGGTGGCCAGTGCATATGAGATCACGATTTTTATACATTTGACATAATTTTGGACAGAGACATATGACATACTAGATCAACTTTATTCATATTCGTCTTAAACTAAATCACACATAAAGTGACATAACATAACATAATTTCAAACGTTTGATGCATTTTGTTGGCTATGATCTGTCACAGTATGATGTAGATCATTAGTTGTGATGAGATAAAGGTAAAGAAAAAATTTAACCAATGAAGCAACAATTCCAATTCCTTCATAAATGGTCACATGGATGAATATGGATCTTGCTTAATTTTAGGGTAAAATATGGTGAGAGGGAGAATATATATCTGAAAACTTTCTCAAATTTTGATATTTTTGCAAACGTAATCTAAAAAATGATGCATCAAGTGTAGATAACAAGCTTTACTTGTCATGGAGCTCGTTCCATAACTAAGGCGTAGACGATTAAGAGTGCATTACACTTTAGACTTAGTAAAACCCTCTACACCTCCTCTTTGCCCCTCATTCTTTGAATAGCTATATTATCCCATACATGGCCCATTCAACAATTCGAACTCTCACATAGAAATTCGCTTGCATTGACCATTCATCCCATTCAAGTCTACCGATTTCGCAAGGCCATTTATGGTATGGTTAATGAACTGCAAGGGTTCTTGATATCTTATGCATTCACGAACTCGCATGGTAATATTTCTCCATTTATAAAAATGTATCCATATCCAAGTCAACTAGTGTCACAACAACGAGGCACTCTAATATCTACAACATTTACAACTTCGTTGAGAGTAAGTTCCTTGCTCAAGGTTATAACCGACGTTACTTT